GGGGGCGGGCGGGTTGGGGAGAGGTTTCCTTCCCCGTTGCAGCTCAACCTCTCCAGCCAACATTAGATGTATGCTCAGTTAAAGAATACAGTGCATAAACAATTAGGGCGCTGCTCGCCTTCCCACCCCCCATGACATTGTCTTTAATTATATTCTCCTAAAAGGGGGGGAGGGAACCATCAACTCTTCGTCAGTGAAGTTGATTTATAGGTAAATAAAACATTTCTATTGTAACTTAGCTTATTTTATAATGGAAATAGATCAGAAAAGAAAAATAAAGCCAATTCTATTAAACCACCTATTTAAAATCTTCCAATAATAATAATAATAATTTAAAAAATTATTAATTGTTAATTGTAATTGCTAAGACTTAACAACTGTTGATAAGGAAGACAAAAAAGTCTGGATAGTGGACATTGCAATACCTGGAGACAGCAGAAGAGAAGAGAAAGAACTGGAGAAAATCACAAAATACAAAGACCTGCACATAGAAGTAGAATGACTGTGGCAAAAGGAAGCAAAGATGGTCCCAATAGTAATAGGCGCCTTGGGTGCAATCCCAAAACAACTGGAGCACCACTTGGATGCCATCGGCATTGACAAAATCACCATCAGTCAATTGCAAAAGGCAGCTTCACTTGGAGCAGCTTCTATCCTGCAATGTTACCTTTAACACCATCAAATAGCAACATCTGCCTATCCAGGTCCTTGGGAAGGACTCGATAGGTGAATAAAAATGCCAAATCCAGTCTAAACATCTGGCTGACTGTGTGACCAACCATAATAATAATAACAACAATAATACCATGACCCCCTACAGTCATTGTTTTTATCTTTGCCTCATAGAACAATTTCTGTTGTTTCAAGCTGTTTTGCCTTATGAGGTTTTGCTCTTGGTAAATCAATATTTTAGCACAGGCTCTCAACTGAACTCATTTAATGCACATTAACCTGTCCCCTGATTAATTATCACAATGTAATAATTACTTGACATCCTTTTCATGGACTGTGTATTAAACACTGTTTAGTAGGATGTTCAGAATGAGTTAATTAGAGGGTGAGCTGAGAATGAAGACTTTTTTATCTCCTCCCACGAACCTGGAGTGGTTCAATGAACAGAGAAACTTTAAGGTCAGACATACATCGAAAATAAGAGAACCCTCTTATTTTATACTCAAAAATAAGAGAACACTCATTTAATAGCCTTTTGTTTTTCTGTGAATCTTATCATTATACATTTTTATGTGTTTCTTGATAGGAATCAATGTATAGATATATATTAATTTACAGAAATCTACTTCATAGGTTTCCTGTGGTGGTGAACAGCAATGTTTTATACTCTGTTAAGCTATATAAAGCATCAGCTATGACATATCATAGGTTCACCAGATAGGATTACAGAAACACTCTGAAGCTGTATTCAATAAGCTTAAGATGAGGAAAGTAAAATAAAACCATACTGGACAGACTTCATAAATTATACATTTTGAAACCATTGATAAGACAGATATTTGCAGTTCAAACAATGCTGGGTGCTGCCCCTGCTATGTTAGTTATACATCGGTCAATGGACAATGCATTAAAACTTGCTACATTTTTCAATGTATTTTCATTTTTTTATTCTATTCAGATATGAAACTTAAACATTTATGTATGTATATACTGTTGAGGTGAGAAAAAGATGCAAGACTACAGATCTGCAATTTATCTGACTTAGGGAAATGAAGCCCAACTTCCTAATCTATTATACGGTCTATAAAGTTGCATTTCATACTAACTGCTAATTTCAGCACACTTCAGTATTGGTACATGACAAAAAGTAATGTTTTATATATCATAGTCCAAATAATCATAACATTCCAGCAGTTGCTCTGTTATTCTGTTTCCCTTTCCTAATAAATTTGAATGATTCAGTTTGCAGGATCAGTGGAAAAAGAAAACTCAGTATGAAAGATTTTAGAAAAGGATCTGAAAAAACAGCAGTGCAATGAACACCACTGTCTTCAGATTGCACTTCACATAAGCTAAACCAAAAAGCCAGGTAGGGGAGCCTATTTACTACTACATTGTCTCCATTTATTTATTAATTATTAGATTCCCCCCCCATCTTTATTTTTGGGCAACTCAAAGCAGCATAGATATCTATGGCTCCTGTTTTGCCCACAACAACAACCCTGTCAGGTGGGCCAGGCTGAGTGACTGGCCTAAAGTCTCCCAGCTGGCTTTCATGCCTAAGAGAGGACTAGAACTCCTAGTCTCCTGGTTTCCAGCCCAGCACATTAGCCACTGTACCAAACTGGGTCTCCATCAGGTATAACCTAAGTACAGTATTACACTTCCTGTGTCATGATGACTGCCTATTTAGAGTTAAAGCCTGCCTTTCCTTCAGGAGCTCAGGATGGTGTCCATAGTATTCCCCCCTCTCCTTTTTCCTTATAACCATCACCCTGTGAGATACGTTGGGTTGAGAGATAGTGACTCACCCAAAGTCACCCAGTGAGCTTCTGAGGCTGAGAGTGGACTAGAATTGAGTCTCCTCCATGCAAGACCAACATTTATAACTAAGGATCATAGGTAATGAAATTCTGGTTTCCATAAATCTCATATAGTGGTTGCTCTGCATTTGGAGGACATGGAAAGTTTAAGACTCTGGTTAAAGTATTGCATGCTATGTATGCTACATTTCTGTGTGTGGTAATTAGCAATATGTATCTGATTCATCTTGTGGTGGCTGAAGGTTCCTAGAAACTCAGTGATTCTGGGGTAATACAGGATGTTTATCGTTCATCACTTGATTGCCTTCGGACAGTTAAGGCTGCTGTCCCCATCTTAGCACCTTTTCCTCCTAGCCTTTCCATGGCTTGATACAATTCCTACTTTACATTTCCCATCTTTGTGCTAGGCAGCAGTTGGGTACTGACATTTTCAGGATTCCCGTCCTGGAAAACATTAGTGCTGCTGTATCTCCCCCAGCATATCCATGTTCCTTCAACAAGGTTAACACGGTGTACAGCCACAATGAAAATCTTTGTGCCACATTTAGGACATTGTGTACTGTGCTGGCTGAGAAAAGTGTGAATGGAGGGAATAGCATGGAAATGTGTGGTTGGAAAGACAGCAGAATGAATGGCTCATGGGTCTACTGAAAAATGGGAGAGCCTTGAAGGGAACTATGATGTAACCTTAAAGAGGGAGGATAGCGGATAAATGTATTTGTAACTGCTGTAAAGAAGATTGGAAGCCGATCCTTTATGTATTTTCTTTTTTCTTTTTTTCTTTCCTTTTTTAAAAATCTTTTTAAAATCTTTCTTTAATCTTTAATCTTTAATCTTTAATCTTTAATCTTTAATCTTTAATCTTTAATCTTTAATCTTTAATCTTAATACTTTCTTTCTTTCTTTCCTCTTTTTCTTTTCTTTATGTTTACTTTTACTATTGTCCTTTAATAAAAATTCTTTTAAAAAATGGGTGAGCCTTCTGTCCATACTAATGGCACATGTTTCTACATATTTAAGAAGTAGAAAGCTTTTGATAGAAAGAATTTGGAATTGAAATATAGAGATTTTAAAATCATAAGGTGTGTGAAGACTGATATTTAACATGTCACAGGATTACCAGTGGTCAATTATGCAAAGACTTTAGTAAGCAGTAGAGTGCATCTTTGACAATGATAACCAGAGCCTGTATTGTTAATTAGAGCTAATTGCTTAGTTTTTGGTGTATTATGCCTGCTTCTATACATCAGGTTTTGCATTATATTTTCATTTGACTAGTTTTCACCAGTAAAGCTGCCACTGGCTTGGAGTCTCCATAATTTGGTAAATGGTTTTATGTTAACATTCTCTATTACCCTGTCAACATCTATTCCATATCCACATGATGTTCAAATGTAGATAAGGAAGTGCAGTTAGGGAACTATTTTGCTGGTGTAGCTTTTGCCTATTAGAGAAAGGCATGGCTTAATGTAAGGTTGTTACCCTAAGGTGTCAAATTCTGACATCTGGTGGGGCCTTAATTTAAATATCTCATCATACAAACTTGATTTTATTTCTTTTTTAATTTTTAAGTCAATTCATTATGAAACTTGGGGATAAATCAGTATAAAAGAAAAAAATATAACTTAATAGCTCGTACTGGAAAAGTAAGATATTCACACTTAAAAGGTAAAGCAATTGTACTTTATTTTTCAAGAACTGATAGACTAAGCTTTTTATTATTAAATAATTATTTTTATTTACAGATATTTTACATAATTAGAAAATAGATAATAAAATTGCCCTTTCAAATCATTTAATCATTTATACTATATCTACTTGTCAGCTTGAACAAAAGAAGCAAACACACTGTCTTCTTTTTCTAGCAGAGCTTCTGGCTTGTCATATTCCAAAATAACTCCTCTCTTCATGACAATAATCATATCAGCATTTAGAATAGTGTGCACCCGGTGCTGGAAAACAAATAGACAGGATGAAAATTTTAATTACCACATCTAATTATCTCTGAAAGAAACAAAGTTTTCTCCTTCCAAATATGTTGGACTACAGTTCCCATAACTCCCAAACAGAATGTTCATTGTTTTATTCTATTCAAAATACACATTTCAGAAAAAAAT